GGTGGTAAGGGTTTTATGTAGGTTCCTTGCAAAGGCAACATGTGGAATCAGTTCTCTGCATCACTTTGTCAGAATTACGGCGCCGATGAGGGCAGACTTGTATTTTCCTTTGGGGTTTTAATGGACGGGTCTTCTTTCAGGAAATGTAACTGTTTCCTCTCTGAAATTAGAATTGTTTACGGATGCTTCAGGGAGCATGGGTTTCTGAGCTTTTTCTGCTGGTCACAGAGCGCCGCTGGCCTCTGCCCACCAAGCATTGATGGCCCCATAAGTGAGGTCCAGGGAGAGGAGATGGTTTGTCCGTCATCACAGCAGCAGCAAGCATCACTGGGAGTGGAGACAACCGGTTCCACTCCCCAGCGGCAGTATGGTTTTACGGGAAAAGAGAAAACCGTTCCCTCGCCCAATAGCCAGGAGTTACCCCTTAGAGCGGGGAATTGCGTCCTCTGTCCCCAGCGACAACTTGGTCCACAGGGAGGGGAGTGCAGCCGGGGTTATTTCCCAGCAGGACCCTGGCTGTACAAATGAGAGCTTGTGGCAGGGGGCCTTCTTGACAACTGCACCTTTTGGGAAAGGTCACCAGGCTAACACAGACCCAACCGATTAAAGGTCTGTGGTCTGGATAGTCTCCCGGGGAGAGTGAAGATATGTGACGAACTCCACTTCACACGTGATTTTGCCACGAGCTCCTGGAGGAGCCTGCTTGCCAGCCTCCTGCCCACAGATTATGGGCCCTGCAGGGAAACCTGTAAAAGACTGTTTAAATGGCTTGGTTTGTGTAATTTTCCTATACCGTTAGGGAACCGAACAATTGCGCGAACCAGGGACACCCCGTGAGCTTGTTAACCCCTATTAACACCTTGGAACGGTTCTCACCTCAGTGTTCTAATTGTTCTTCTGGCTGGCCGTAATTCATATGAATGACCACGAAGTGGCAGCCATCTTGTTCACATGAACACAGGCAGCTGTGTTTGGTCGTTGAGTTCATGGAACTAAAATCGGACACTGAAACTCCTGAACCCCGCTGGACTTCCATCATTGCCTGCGTTCGGTTCTGTAGATCCTAAAAGAACATTCGATGGAATCGTTAGTCTGGATGAGGGCAACAAGCTCCATGGTTCAAAAAGGGAATATGGGACTTCCATGTAAAACCCGAACCCCTGAACCGATCTGGGTGATTTTTGGATATGTTGGTCACCCAGATCAGGGCTATCAGGGGATGGGGGATGGGGGAAAGGCTGCAGGGACACATGGGGACACTGGGAGACACTAAGGGACATTGGGTGACCTGCGGACCCTGAGACACTTGGGGACACTGAGAGACCTGGGGACACTGGAAGATCAGGGGTCACTGGGACACTTTGGGACACTGGGAGACATGAGGATGCTGGGAGACATTGGGACACTGAGACTCTAGGGGACACTGTAAAACACTAGGGGATGCTGGGACACTTGGGGAAACTAAGAGATATGGGGATACTGATATACTGTGTCCCTAGTGTCTGTGTCCCCTTGTCTCCCAATATCCATAAGTGTCTCAGTGTCCCCATATCACCCAGCCAGTGTCCCTAGTGTCTCAGTGTCCCCATGTCTCCCTGTGTCTCCTAGTGTACCAATGTCTCACAGTGTTCCCATGTCTCTAAGTGTCCACTAGTGTCCAAGTGACATGGGGAGACTTGGAGACACAGGGACACTGGGCAACATGGGAAAACGAGGGGACACTGGGAGACATGGGGCACTGAAACACTTGGAGTACTGAGACATTGTGATACATAGGGACACTGTGATACATAGGGGCACTGTGATAAATAGGGGACACAGACACCAGGGGACACTGGGAGACATGAGGACATTAAAAGACTAGGAGACACTAGGAGACTAGGGGAAACTAAGACACTGGGAGACAGGGAGACACTGGGAACAATCGATCACACACACTGATCAATGCAGAGACACACACAGACACACTCACACACACTGACACAAACACACTTTGACCCATGCAGACACACACACTGACACAAACATTCTGACCAATGCAGACATAAATACACTGACACAAATACAAACTCTGATCCATGCAGGCAAACACACACTGACCCATGCAGACACACACACACACTTACACAAACACACATACTGACCCATGCAGACAGACACAAACATGCACATTGACACATGCAGACACACACTAAACTTTGCAGACTGACACACTGACACAAACACATACACTGACCCATGCAAACATACACAAACTGAGACAAACACACACACTGACCCATGCAGACAGACACAAACATGCACATTGACCCATGCAGACATACACTGACATAAATACACACACTGACCCATGCAGACACAAACACACACACTGACACAAATACACACACTGACCCATGCAGACATACAAACACGGACCCATGCAGACATATACACACGCTGACGAATGCAGACAGACACAAACATGCACATTGACCCAAGCAGACACACACTGACACAAAAACACACACTAACCCATGCAGACACAAACACACACACTGACCCATGCAGATAGATACAGACATGCACATTGACACATGCAGATACACACACTGACCCATGCAGACACACACACTGACACAAACACACACACACTGACCTATGCAGGCACACACATTCTCTGAAACACGCACTTACCTTCATTACACTCCAGGCATCTTGCTCGCGCACTTCAGGCATCACTCCCTGCATTAACCCCACTTCCTTTTGTCACCAAGTACAGGGCAGGAGGCGGGAGCGAGTGAGAAGTACACCCAGTGAAGAGCCTACTGGGATACTTTCTGCCACCCTGCCCCACTTCCTGAATCCCTCCCCCCATGTCTCCACGCACAGTGAAGGGGGTCGGAGCACACGGATGTTGCGCCTGCACGCTACCTCACGATGGGGATCAAGTGCAGTCAGGCGCCAGCCAGGAGGTAATTCAGCACACTGTGGTAACAGCTGTGCCGTGGCCACTGCCGCCTGGCTGCCATCCTGAATTTGACTGTTTCTAGCCATTTGGACAGTTTTGCAACTCGTTACTGGGTCTGACTGAGCGGTCCAGTCGCCCGGACAGACCCAGACTCCATTAGTTGGAGGTGGGCTCGAGGCGCCCCCAGGGAACTGGTGCCCTAGGCCACTGCCTAAGTGGCCTAATAGAAGTGCCGGCCCTGGATGTATGGGAACAAAACTTGTGTGGACTGGCTGACAATAAAATTAGTTAAGGTAATGCTGACTTTGGTCTCTCTAACACTTTCTTCTACACTCACTACACACACCTTTTTTCAGTCCCAGACTATATGCCAGGAGCTTCTGCCTGCTAGTAAGAAGGTAAGGAGACAAGTGGACATGTGAGTGCTAGGGGACAGTCCTTAGAAAGCATTGAGCGAACACATCATTAGATTCATTTATGCCAAGCTCAGGGGGCTGTCTGCATAGTATGCCCTTAGTTAGCTAGCCTGCATGATTGATAGGCAGCCTGACATATATTCATGCCAGGCTGGCCTTCCAATTCTTTGGGCAGACATGCCCTGCTTCACTGGACACTGCTGTTAGGGGTATAGATTTATTTGAAATATGAAAGCCTAAATTAGAGAGAGATTGGCATAGAGTATGTGTTTTCTGTGAAATTTGTCACTTCAGTGAATAACTCTAGCAGGTTCTAGTGAATAACCCTGTGAAAACGATTTTAGCCTAATATTTTCAATTTTGGCTTTCAGTTCACTTCAACTCAGTGTTTAGTGAATAAACCTATGCACATGTGTAAAGGAGAGAAATAGTATATACAGTTACTGCAATGGGCAGTCGGTCAGTAATAGGTTTAGCACATCAGCTGACGCTCTGATCCCATCACAGGCTGTCAAGCAAACCTTTCTGGAGGGGAATGCAGCCAGAGGAAGGAACACACAAAGAAAAGCTGTGGGAAGCTGGGTAGGAGAATAACTTCAGGGTTAAATGGCTCAGGAGGTAAGAAAGCGAACAGCAGAGAAGGACTGAGATCCAACAGGACCCTAGGCAGGTTTCCACTCCCCTCCTACTCTTCCCCCCTCCCATTGCATATTTTCTTTACAATAATTTACATTATTATTATTATAATTTTATTATTTATATAGCACCAGCAAATTCCGTAGCGCTGTACAATGGGTGGACTAACAGACATCTTGAAAACATATTGCCGAATAATTACACAAAGCAATATGAGCTTGTTATGCCACGGGGCTCTGCAGCTGGTGATGATGAAGACAGTATTAATACTTTAATGGTGAGAAATTGTGCCGTGGGTGGCAATAAAACATGTTGCCAGTATTTTTTGCAGCAACATTTTAGAGCTACTGGAGAGCTGACCGGAAAAACTGTCCAGTGTGACTGTCAATAAGATCTCTCTGGGCTGGCAAACATGTCCAAGGCAGTTAAATAGCAATCTCGAGAAGTAATTCCAATTCCAGACATCTGGTGAGGAGGTGAAAATATGACTAATTATGAAGAAATGTGCAGACCGGGATGCTCAGAGAATTATTCTGTTTCAGATCTGCAAACTTATTAAAAGATCTTAATTTTTAGATATTTATTACCTGTCTTGCTTTTTTTCTGAAGAATGATCTTTTATCCCATGTTATATGTAATATCTCCCTCTTCACCAGCCACAAGTAAGAAGCTGGCATGGGAGAATTAAAAAATAAATAAAAATAATAATAATAATAATAATAATATTCAATAATGCGGTCGGTCTCTTTTGGAAGTACCAAAATACAGCTTATAAGGCAAATAGTCATTCATGCATCCATCCCAAATGTGTATTCAGCTATTTCCCTGACTAGAAAAATTTCACTTATGTTTGATTTTGCTGACACTACAAAGCCAACTTTGGGACATGGGCATTTTAGTTTTGAAATGCGGAATTTTGGCACTGGGCTTAAAGGATTAGTCCAACCAGGGCAGCCATCATGGCATGACAACCATGACATATATTTATGTGCACCTGCGGACCCTCGGCTCCCTGTACACCGCAGAGACGGCCCTGCACACTCCATCTCCACTTCTCTCTCCAAGTCTCGCGAGCTGCACGGCTGTCAGAGTGTTGCCACGGGTTACCATGGCGCCGCTCCGTGCAACTCGTGAGACTTGGAGAGAGAAGAGCAGCTGGGAAGTGGAGATGGAGTGTGCAGGGCCCTCTCTGCGGTGTACAGGGAGCCGGGGGCCCATACCATGCCACCAGACTACAATGAAACGTGAAATCAAATTTAAATAAAAGAAAAAAAAAAACAATAATGCTATTTCCCCAACCCCTACAGTATGCAGCCCCACAACATTTACACACACTATACACTAACAGTTACACACACTACATCCTCACACAAACACACGCTCTGCAGTCACTATACACATACTACATCCTTACACACACACATACACTGCATTCACAATATCCACTACACAAACACACACTCTGAATTTATTACACACACTACATCCTTACACAAACACACTCATCAGTCACTATACACACACTATATCCTTATACAAATACACACTCTGCAGTCATTACACACACTACATCCTTACACAAACACACAATCTGCATTCACTCTAAACACACTACATCCACTACACAAACACACACTCTGCATCTAATACACATAAACTCTACATACATTACACAAACGTACAATCTGCATCCACTTTTCACATTCCACATCTACTATACACACTTCATCCATGACACGCACACTGCATCCACTTTACACATTCCACATCCACTATACACACACAACAGTATGCACACACTTCATCCTTGTGGGCAGACTTAGGATGGGCCCTGCGGACGGACTCAGAGGCAGCTCTGTGGGCAGACTCGTGGGTGGGCCTCAGGAGCCCAGAACTTGAGCTGTGTCAGGGGCCCCAAAATATATGACGGCAGCCCTGAGTCCAACCGCCATACCCGCTGCAGTCCGCTGTACAGTTACAATGTGAACAGTAGCATGGCCCCTTTTCCAAGTAATGGTGCAAAGCATTCTGCATTCAAAACATATGTTCCCAGCTTTTTTGTAAAGTTAATTTCCATTCCAAATAGAGCTACCATGAGAAATGAAGCCAAATCCTTGCTCCCGACACCATTCACCAAGCCACAAGTTAAACTCCCTTACACGCATCAGCCTGTCATTCTGAATGTTATTCAGAGAATGACAGTGTAGACACAACCTTCCATATACCATTGGCAAAACACTTCCTTTACCTCTGGAACCTATAAAATCTATATAAATACATGGCAAAATACCTGGGAGAGGCTCATTATAATAATCATGGGATTATTAAAAGCAGGCTGGAGTTAATACCAGGCAAAAATCTAGCAGCCAAACCTGATGAATGGGTTGGCTGCTCAAGAAAAATCACCCGATAAATGTTCTTTGGAAACACAGTCATCAGCCTTTTTAATGACTAATCCTGTTAGTCATTTAAAAAGACTTGCAATAAAAGCATATAGGAGCCAATATAATCCCTATATAAGTACTAGGGAGGTTTTGAATCTCCGACATTTGAATTGCCACAAGTGGGAGCATGTCTGTTTAACAGTCAGTGGCTGCTCTTTGTTTTAATAAATTAGCGACTTAACAGCTATCGCTGCCCAGTGGCTATTAACAAACACCCAATGCCATATTAAAGAACCGGGGTGGGCAGGTCACTTACAGATCACAGTGGGGACAATTCATTAAATAATACATGGGGACTTATTGAGTTATTGGTGGGGGGCCTAATTAAAATAAATTGGGGCCTATTGTCCTTTGCCAGACTCCACCAATGTGCAGCAAGTAGGGACTCTAATATTTAGTATAACACAGGGGAGTTAATGTCCCGCTCCCACTCATAGGATAATGAAGGGAAATGTAGGAAATAAAGTGGCAGCTCCTTGCATTAAAGAAAAAATTAAGAGATTCAAAAAGCAAAGACAAAGGAGAAGATACATTTTGGTATTTAAAGAACAATGATGCTTTCCTTAAGAGGAAATTAAATATGATATAAATGAAGGCTCTGCTAACATGCCATAGGTTAAGGGAAAGACACTTAAGAAAAACAGACATAAAGAGCAAAAGCTTATGGAGCCCCAATAAATTAAATGAAAAGGAATCAGACGTCATTTGTAATGGCCTTGCATACTTTCTTGAGCCCAATATTATGGGCCATGATTTGCCATATGAGCATTTAATTCAGCATATCTGTAGGTAAGTGAGACATATGTAGTGGTCTGTGCCACCCAAGTGTTCCCAAAATCTTCCTCTACAACAAAATGCAGCCTGTAAGCATGGCAATCTTCTCCCTAGCCACCACCAGATCTTGCTGAAACATGGTTTGGATACCATGCAATAAAGCCTTAATGTCAGCTTTCATAAATGGGGCATTGTCCACCAGCACTATAGGTCTATGTGAGCCACCGAGTTGGCTTGTAGTAATTTAGGCTGTCATTCTCTGATGCTGTGGAGGAGTTGGCAGGCACAGGTTTCTTGGATTTCCGGGGCAAAGCAGCAATATCTCTGGAATTGGGGCTGGGATCTGCTTGGTGCTTCTTGTATCTTCTCTCCCCATAGTTAACAAACTGGACTGAGCAATATATTTGGTAATCAATCAATAGTTATTGGAAACCACCCATTAACTTAAAAGCTTGGTGCTTTTGGTCAGTGCCTCCATTGTGCATAGTTGTTGGCTCTGCCCCGGGATGCTTTATTGTGTGTAGGGTTTTGTGTGTGTGTATGTGGGATGTCTTTGGTGTTGGAGGGGTTTGTTTTGCAGCTCTGTGTATTTGCTTGTGGGCTGTTTGGAGAATTTGTGTGGGTAGATTCTTGTAGGGCTGTGAGTGTTTGTGGGTTTTCTGTGGTGTTGAGGTTTTTGTGCATGTATGTGGGATGTTGTGTTGTGTTGTGTGTGTATATGTGGTATATTTAAGGTGTTGTCCATGTGTTCGATGTTTGATGTATTTGATGTTGTGGGTTTCTTGTGGCACTGTTTAAATCAAAATATAAAAAGAATTAAAATATTTAACCATAAGTTAAAGTCACATATTAAACAAGTGGGATGTGACGAGGAAAATTGAGAAAATGTGGCAGCCTTATGGGTAGATATCTACTTGGGACAAAAGAAGGGAAATTGATTAATAGTTTAAAATATGTTATAAACCACCTAATGTTGATATTGATGAGAAAGAACAGTTTTTTGAGCACATTGGGAAAATTGCACATCTGGGTAACACGTTAATTATTGGAGATTTTAAATACCCGAACATAAATTGGGATAGAGAGACTAGCAGTTTAGATTGTGGAATCAGGTTTCTGAACCTGTTAAATGATACCTACATGTCACAATTGGTGGAATCATAAAATATGTTTAAATGGATCTGGTTAAAACAAATAATGTTGATCTTTTGTCAAATATTTAAAAAAGGGAGCACTTGGGAATTAGTAATCACAGAATGGTGTATTTTGAAGTAAACTCAAAAAAACAAATGCAAATGAGGTATACAAAAACATATCATTTTTAAAAGGCCAATTTTAATAAGATACGGGTAGCTGTACAATTCATTGACAGTCAAACTCTGTAATGACAAAAACTGTGAGAATAAATGGAATATCTTCAAGCAAATATTTAGACTATTATATACCAGTAGGTACCAAACATAAGAGAAAAAAATTGAAAACAATGTGGCTAATTGGGAATGTAAGTCAAGAAATTAAAAATATGAAAAGAGCATTTAAAGCATTGAAATCAGACAAATCAGAGGCATCCTGTATAAGGTGTAAGAATGCTAATAATGTCTGAAAAAGGCGATAAGATGGGCTGGACAAGAAAAGGAAAAAGTGATAGCCAAAGAGAGCAAGATCCAACCTAAAATGTTTTTTTAAGTACATAAATTCTGAAAAAAAAAAAAAATGAGTGTAGGTACAATAAAATCAGAGATGGGTGTGTTAGTAAATGAAGATTAGGAAAGGCAGAAATTAAACTAATTATTTTTCTTCAGTATTTACTGTTCAGCCACACCACTAAAAATACCTGACTAATAATGTGTAGGTCCCCCTCGTGCGGCAAAAACAGCTGTGATGTGTCAAAGCATGTACTCCACAAAACCTCTGAACATATCCTGTGGTATCTGCCACCAAAACATAAGCAGCAAATCCTTTAAATGGACATTCCAGGCACCCAGACCACTTCTGCCCATTGGAGTGGTCTGGGTGCCAACTCCCATCACCCTTAACCCTGCAAGTGTAATTATTGTAGTTTTTATAAACTCCAATAATTACCTTGCAGGGTTAAGTCCTCCTCTAGTGGCTGCCTATCAGACAGCCTCTAGAGGAACTTCCGGGTTCTTAAAACACGAAAAGTGTTTTAAACGATGCTGGATGTCCTCACGCTATGCATGAGGACATCCAGTGTCGCCTGAATCCCCGTAGGAAAGCATTGAATAATGCTTTCCTATGGGAAGGTCTAATACGCGCACGTGGCCATTGCCGCGCATGTGCATTAGGTCTCCCCCGCCGGCTGACATTGGTGGGGGAGGAGCATGGGCGGAGCCTGACTCAGCGCCAAGGGACATCAGCGCTGGATTCAGGTAAGTCACTGAAGGGGTTTTAACACTGGAGAGTCCCTTTAAGTAAGTTGCAAAGTGGGGCCTCCATGGATCAGATTTTATGTTCCAGCACATCCCACAGATGCTCAATTGGATTGAGTGCTGGGGAACTTGGAGGCGAATGTAAAACCTTAAACTATTTGTCATGTTTCTCAAATCAACCATGAGCAGTTTTTGCAGTGTGGAAGGCTGCATTATCCTGCTAAAAGAGGCCCCTGCCATCAGGAAACACCATTGCCATGAAAGGGCGTACCTGGTCTGCAGCAATCTTTAGGTATGTGGTACGTGTCAAACTAAAATCCACATGAATGCCAGGATCCAAGGTTTCTCAGCAGAATATTGCCCAGAGCAGAACACTGCCTCCACCTGCCTGCCTTCTTCCCATAGTGCATCCTGCTGCCATCTCTTTCCCAAATAAATGACTCACACGCACCTGGCCATCCACCTGAACTAAAAGAAAACATGTTTTATTAGATCAAGCAACCTTCTTCCTTTGATTCATGGTACAGTTCTGACACTAACATCCCCGTTAGAGGCACTTTAGGACTTCATCATGAGCACTCTGACCCTTCTGTGGCTATACAGCCACA